GTGTTACTGAGGGGAGAATCCCTCTCGGCATCTCCTTGGCCCAATGGGGGGTCCCATTGACCCATCCACCGCTTAGAACCAGCCCTTTCCTTTCACTCCCCACCCCCCATCCCTACTGATTTTTAGACCCTCAGAGTTCCAAGATTCGACCTTATGCAGGGGCTCACAGATTTCCTTAACTCCCCCTCCTCCCCTGTCCCCCTTCTTCCTTGGAGATCCTGGGGTTCCTGCTCTTTCCCATTTATTCAACCCCTTACACTTGGGGACCCTTCCAAGGGCAAGGTGGGCGCCTCCCACTGCCTCCCCTAACCTCATGACCTCTCCTCTTTTAGGTCTAGGAGGTCATCTTTGCTCCCGTCTCTAAAACCTCCCCACATTTAGATGCGCTCACCTAGCTTCTCCCCTCTCAGCCCCGTCGAGGCATCAAGGTTTGGGGATCACCTTTGTTTGTTTTTTGAGGAGACTGACTCTCGTTCTTTCGCCCAGGCTGGAGTGCAATGGTATAATCTCTGCCTCTTGGGTTCAAGTGATTCTCCTGCCTCAGCCTCCCGAGTAGCTGGGATTACAGGTGCCCGCCACCAGGACTGGCTAATTTTTGTATTTTTAGTAGAGATGGGGTTTCACCATGTTGGCCAGGCTGGTCTCGAACTCCTGAACTCAAGTGATCCCCCCACCTGGGCCTCCCAAAGTGCTGGGATAGGAGGCGTGAGCAACCGCACCCGGCCTAAGCCTTAGTTCTTCATTGTAATGAGAGGAAGTACAAGAAAGTACAGATCATGGGCGAGGAGTCCAACTGACATGCTTCAGTGATGTGACATACTGACTCTGCCCCTGAAAAGCTGTCACCTTGGGTAATTTGCTTAGCCTCTCTGAGCTTCAGTTTCACTCGGGGCTGGCTGATAACACTCAGAGTTGCTATGACATTCAAACATGGTCATGTATATAAAGTGCTCAGCATGGAGCTTGTTCTCATTAAACCCCATGGCACGTGGGCATCTCTGCTTTTAATGTACATATGTGTACACAGTCCAAGTGATAGAACATCAGGATTAGCGGGAGCTGGGAGGGTGGAGGAGGCAGCACCACCTGATATTTAGGTGGAAGAATGGCTGGGATTTGCCAACATGTGGAATGAGGGACAAGTCAAAGTTGTCCCTAAGATTTCGAGTTTGGGCAATGGTGGCATGGTAAGCTAAGATCAAGGATATAAGGGCAAGAAGTGCTTTCAGGCTGGGAGCATTTAGGAGAGCATGGGAGGATAATGCATGTGTTTCGGACATGTTAAGGTGCTTATAGGGTATCCACACAGAGAGGTCTGGGAAACAAGGAATACATGTGGGCTGGGTGTGGTGGCTCACATCTGTCATCCTTGTCTTCTCGGTAGCTGAGGCAGAAGAACTGCTTGAGGCCAGGAATTTGAGATCAGCATGGGCAACAATGTAAGACCTCATTTCTACAAAAAATTTAAGGCCAGGTGTGGTTGCTCATGCCTGCAAAATCCTGGCACTTTGGGAGGCTGAGCTGGGTGGATCACAAGGTCAGGAGTTTAAGACCAGCCTGGCCAACATGGTGAAACCCCATCTCTACTAAAAAAACACAAAAACTAGTCAGATGTGGTTGCACATACCTGTAATCCCAGCTACTCGGGAGGCTGAGGCAGGAGAATCTCTTGAATCCCGGAAGCAGAGGTTTCAGTGAGCCGAGATTGTGCCACTGCACTCCAGCCTGGGCAACAGAGCAGGACTCTGTCTCAAAAAAAAAGAAGAAGAAATTAATGTGGTGCTTTTCTGGAGCTGGAGGCTATTGATGTAGGTGTGGGAATTACTACTTGGGAGAGTTCATCTCTGCCTGTTCCAAAATCCATTGTGAGCACTGCCAGTGCTTTCTTCAGCTCTCATGAGATTGGGGCAGGAGTGCTGCCATCTTCATGTTAGGCTGTCTTAGTCAATTTATATTGCTATAACAGAATACCACAAACTGGATAATATTTAATAAAAAAATTGGCTGGGTGCGGTGGCTCACACCTTTAATCCCAGAACTTTGGGAGGCCGAGGTAGATGGATCACCTGAGGTTGAGAATTCAAGACCAGCCTCACCAACATGGAGAAACCCCGTCTCTACTAAAAAGTACAAAATTAGCCAGGTGTGGTGGCACATGCCTATAATACCAGCTACTTGGGAGGCTGAGGTAAGAGAATCACTTGAACCAGGGAGGCGGAGGTTGTGGTGAGCAGAGATCACGCCATTGCACTTCAGCCTGGGCAACAAGAGCAAAACTCCATCTCAAAATAAATAAATAAATAAAATAAAAATTAAGTAAAAAAAATTATTTCTAATGGTTCTGGAGGCTGCAAAGTCCAAGATCAAGGCACCGGCAGATTATCTGGTGAGGGCCTGATCTCTGCTTCCAAGATGTGTCTCTCTTACATGGAAGGTGGAAGGGCAAAAAAGGGGCAACATTGTGTGAAGCCCGTTTTATAGTCTTTAATCCCATGCATGGGGGAGGAGCCCTCATGACCTAATCACGTCCTAAAGGCCCTGTCTCTTCATACTATTTGCATTGGGGATTAAATTTCAACATGAATTTTGGAGGGACATAAACATTCAAACCATGGCAGAAACTCTTTGCAGAGCCCTTTTGCTGCTGAAACTTGCAGGTAGGGGTATGACTTATTTAATAAAGATGACCTTTTCTGTATAGATGATACCTAGCCGATGTTGAATAGGACATTTTCTGTTTTTTGTTTGCTTTTTTGTTTGTTTGTTTGTTTGAGATGGAGTCTTGCTCTGTGACCCAGGCTGGAGTGCAGTGGTTTGATCTTGGCCCACTGCAACACCTAGCTCCCGGGTTCAAGCGATTCCTCTGCCTCAGCCTCCCAAGTAGCTGGGATTACAGGTGCCCACCACTACACTCAGCTAATTTTTGTATTTTTAGTAGAGACAGGGTTTTGCCGTGCTAGCCAGGCTGGTCTGGAGCCCCTGACCTCAAGTGATCTGCCTGCCTTGCCTCCCAAAGTCCTAGGATTACAGGCATGAGCACACTGTGCCCCGCCCTGAATAAGAACTTTTCTGTTGGTTCTTTTTTGAGATGGAGTTTCGCTCTTGTTGCCCAGGTTAGAGTGCAATGGCACGATCTTGGCTCATAGCAACCTCCACCTCCCCGGTTCAAGCGATTCTCTTGCTTCAGCCTCCTGAGTAGCTGGGATTACAGGCATGTGCCACCACACTTAAGTTTTTGTATTTTTAGTAGAGACAGGGTTTCTCCATGTTGGTCAGGCTGGTCTCAAACTCCTAACCTTAGATGATCTGCCCACCTCGGCCTCCCAAAGTGCTGGGATTACAGGCATGAGCCACTGCGCCTGGACTCCTTTTCTTTTTCTTTTTTAGAGACAGGGTCTTGCTATGTTGCCCAGGCTGGAGTGCAGTAGCTATTCACAGGCACAATCCAAACTCCCGTGCTGGCCTCCTTTTCTTTTCTTTCTTTCTTTTTTTTGAAAGAGTCTTGCTCTATCGTCCAGGCTGGAGTGCAATGGTGCAATCCTGGCTACTGCAACCTCCGCCTCCCAGGTTCAAGCATTTATCCTGCCTCAGCCTCCCAAGGAGCTGGCATTACAGGCGCGTGCCACCACACCCGGCTAACTTGTATTTTTTTAGTTGAGATGAGGGTTTCATCATGTTGGCCAGGCTGGTCTTAAACGCCTGACCTCAGGTGATCCGCCCACCTCGGCCTCCCAAAATGCTGGAATTACTGGTGTGAGCCACCGCAGAATGCTCAGCATGTTGTAAGTTTGTTGTTCTTCCTTCCCTTTCCAAAGCATTCCCGCCTCCTCCATCCCAGCATGTGCTTGCGCTTCTTTAGATTTGTGGGTCTGAGAGCGCACTGGCGCCTCACCCACACGCGGTCTCCAGCTTTTCCAGTCCTCGCCCTGAAAACCTTCTTCTAGTCACAGATCTAGTCATTTTTGCCACGGCTACTCTTGAACTCTTTATTGACCTCTGCACCTACTTCCTCTTCTGTGAAAACAGATGAGTTTATGTAGATTAAGATCTAGCAGACATCTGTAGACATATCAGGTGGTAAATATTTTAGGCTTTGCAGGCTAGTGACTGAACTCTGCATGAAAATAACCGCAATATATAAAGGAATGAATGTGAATGGGTGCCGTGCTGAAATCATCTCCTTCCCAGGGTCCATGAAAGTCTTCTTCTTTGAGCTTTTCCCCCAATCATTTAAAATGTAAAAACATTCCTAGCTTGCAGGTGCTATGAGAATAGGGAGCAGACCAGAGGTGACTTAGGAGGCTTGTTGGCAGATTCCTGCCTAGTTTAACAATCTCCCTCTGTTGCCAAGGCTGGAGTGCAGTGGCACGATCTCAGCTCACTGTAACCACTGCCTCCCAGGTTCAAGCAAGTCTCCTGCCTCAGCCTCCTGAGTAGCTGGGGCTACTGGTGCACCACCACGCCTGGCTAATTTTGGCATTTTTAGTAGAGACGGGGTTTTACCAAGTTGGCCAGGCTGGTCTCAAAGTCCTGGCCTCAAGTGATCCATCCGCCTTGGCCTCCCAAAGTGCTGGGATTACGGGTGTGAGCCACTGCGCCCGGCTGTGTCTAATCATCTAGTAATCCTCTGGGCTGGAGTTGGGGTGTGTCAGAGGCAAATTTTTGCCTGTCTTCTCAGAACACCATATTCAGAGAAGGCCACTCGGGACAGATTTGTCAGGCTGTTTCAAATGCCCAGGTCTGGGATGGGATGCCCTATCTGTGGAGGATTTTTTTTTTTTTTTTTTTTTTNTTTTTGAGACAGGGTCTCACTCTGTTGCTCAGGCTGGAGTGCAGTGGTGTGATCTTGGTGCACTGCAGCCTCTGCCTCCTGGGCTCAAGTGACTCTCCTACTTCAGCCTCCCAAGTAGCTGTGTTACAGGAAAGGGGTCCTGATCCAGACCCCAAGAGAGGGTCCTTGGATCTCACACAAGAAAGAATTCAGGGTGAGGCCATCAAGAGAAAGCAAGTTTATTAACAAGGTAAAGGAACAAAAGAATGACGGCTCCATAGACAGAGCAGCCCCGAGGGCTGCTGGTTGCCCACTTTTATGGTTATTTCTTGATTACATACTAAACAAAGGGTGGATTGTTCATTCCTCCCCTTTTTAGTCCACATAGGGCAACTTCCTGAAGTTGCCACGGCATCTGCAACCTGTCATGGTGCTGGCGGGAGTGTAGCAGTGAGGACGACCAGAGGTCACTCTCGTTGCCATCTTGGTTTTGGTGGGATTTGGCCGGCTTCTTTACTGCAGCCTGTTTTATCAGTAAGGTCTTTATGACCTGGATCTTGTGCCGACCTCCTGTCTCATCCTATGACTTAAAATGCCTTCACCGTCTGGGAATGCAGCCCTGTAGATCTCAGCCTCATTTTACGTAGCTCCTATTCCAGATGGAGTTCTTCTGGTTCAAATGCCTCTGCCAGCTGAGACCACAGGAACACAGCACTACGTCCAGGTATGTTTTGTACTTTTTGTAGAGACAGGGTTTCACCATGTTGACCAGGCTGATCTTGAACTCCTGGGCTCAAGCAATTCATCCGCCTTGGCCTCCCAAAGTGCTAGGATTACAGGCATGAGCCACCACACCCAGCCCACTTGGAGGCTTTTTTTTTTTTTTTTTAAATGAGAGAGAAATAGAGAGAGAGAGAGAGGGAGGGAGGGAGGGAGACTTTGCACTCTGTTATCCTCAAATTATTACTTTACCTTCTTCCCTAGCCGGGGTCCCAGTCCTAAAGCCCGAGACCCTCAATGGAACTTCACCTCTGCATAATCCGCCTGGGTGCCCTTGGGCATCCCGGCCTCAGGCCTGGGTCTGAGGCCTGGGAAGTTGAGCATGGCATAATGGAGCTCTTCTTGGCTCTTGTGGGATTCTGGTGCTTGAGTGGATGATTTGGATTCTGGGCAGCTGAACAACTGATATGGCTTTTTCTGGTTCTTCTTTGATTCTGGGCAGGGAGCACCTGGTGGAGGAGGTGTCTGAGAAGCGCTGCTTGATGTGGCCTTCTCATTCCGATTCGAAGCCTGAGGGATGAACCACCATCCTTCATTCATTCATTCAGCAAATATTTGAACACATGTTGGGCACTGATTTCATTTATTTATTTTTTTGAGACGTGGTCTCACTCTGTTGCCCAGGCTGAAGTACAGTGGCGTGATCTCGGCTCCCTGCAACCTCTGCCTTCCAAGTTCAAGCAATTCTGCCTCAGCCTCCTGAGCAGCTGGGACTTCAGGCATGTGCCACCACACCTGGCTAATTTTTTGTATTTTTAGTAGAAATGGGGTTTCATCATGTTAGCCAGGATGGTCTCAGTCTCCTGACCTCGTGATCCCCCCGCCTTGGCCTCCCAAAGTGCTGGGATTACAGGTGTGAGCCACTGTGCCCGGCCATTTGGGCACTGATTTATAGCACAGAGTGAAACAAAGTCCCTGCCCTTGCTTTGCTCAGCTTGCATTCCATCTTGGAAGCAGTAACAGAGAATACTTAGCAAAAGTACCCTAACTGGTAAGTGACAAACGACATCAAGAAATTTGAGCACTGTCAGAAGTCAGCAAAAGGGAGAGTGGGATGACTGTTTAACAGGGAATCCCGGGAAGTTCGAGACCAGCCTGGCCAACATAGCGAAACCCCATCTCTATCAAAACTACAAAAATTAGCCAGGCATGGTGATACATGCCTGTAGTCCCAGATACTCAGGAGGCCGAGGCAGGAGAATCGCTTGAACCTGAGTGATGGAGGTTATAGTGAGCTGAGATTGTGCCACTGCACTCCAGCCTGGGCAACAGAGGGAGACTCCATCTCAAAAAAAAAAAGAAAGAAAGAAAAGAAAAAAGAAAATGCTGATTAGACACCCACATGGGGATGCTGCATAGACAGTCTGCAGTTCAGGGAAGGAGCCAGGAGATACAGTTTTAGGGTCATCAGCGTAAGATGTTATCTCCTAATAATTTCCAGCATTTACAGAGTATTACCCAGGGGCCTGGTGATATTCTGAATATTTTATTATACAAGTACAATATATCTAACATCTAGCATCATCCTAGGAGGTGGCCACTAGTATCATCCCCATGTTACAGCTAAAGAAATTGAGGCACAGAGAAGTTAAGATACTTGCTTCATCACACAGTGGTGGAAGCAGGATTTGAACCCGGGAAGGCTGACTTCAGACCCCTCTACTGAGTCCCTAGGCTGTACAGTCTCCCGATGATACGAATAATTGTTAAGCAGTTAAGTGCAATTAGTAATTGGTGACGGTAACAATGGAATAATGGCTACGTATTGAGAAAGTGCATGTGTTCTAATCCTCAAACCAACTCTTTTTTTCCTTTTCAAGATGGAGTCTTGCTCTGTTGCCCAGGCTGGAGTGCAGTGGCGTGATCTCGGCTCATTGTAACCTCTGCCTACTGGGTTCAAGCAATTCTCCTGCCTCAGCCTCCCTAGTAGCTGGGACCACAGGCGCCTGCCACCACGCCCAGCTAACTTTTGTATTTTTAGTAAAGACAGGGTTTCACCATATTGGCCAGGCTGGTCTCAAACTCCTGACCTTGTGATCTGCCCATCTCAGCCTCCCAAAGCGCTGGGATTGCAGGCATGAGCCACTGTGCCCAGCTTAATCCTTAATCCAATTCTCAAAGGAGACAGGAAGAAATGAAGGCTCAGAGCAGGTGAGGGACGTGGCTGAGAAGCTAGTGCCAGCCAGGATATGAATTCAGTGCTATCGCTGGTGCTTTTCCCACCTTGATGTCCCTAAGACAAAGGGTACGAAAGTCAGAAAGCGGATGTGAGCTTTAGAGAAGAGGAGAGGCAGCATGGCCCAGACACTCACCCGGGGGCCGGCCTTCGGGACCACGTTGATGTAATCCAGGATGGTGCTGTGCCGGGAGAACCTGGGCCTCGGGGTCTCTGCCTGAGTTTGTTTCTTCAGTAGAATCTTCATGCTGAGGAAACAAAGCCACCTGTTTGTGCACTGCTGCACCTCTCCTCTTCCTGCGTCCAGACCCCAGACCCCGCCACTCCTCCTTTTAACCTACATGATCTGGGAGAGGCAGAGGAAAAGAAGAGCCATGATCATGATTCCCAGAACGGCTCCGATGAAGAACTCCTTTGAGACCAGTCCCTTCTTATCTGCACACGGAGAGAGTCAGGTGGGCATCTCCCATCCACGTGGGGCTCACGAAGCCCACTCCTCACTCGGCCTTCAGGCTTCCATTGCCCAATGCAGACATTGAATCTGCAACTCCTCTGTTTACTCTGAGGTGGAGTCTTGCTCTGTTGCCCAGGCTGGAGTGACCCAGCCCAGGTGTCAGGACTTTCCACTGTGTTTTCCTGTCTACATACAGATGCCATGGCTCTCCTGTGTCCCTCCCAGCTCCTGCTCCAACCACAGGCCCCTGCTCTCTGCCCTACTCAGCTTCTCCAAGAATCTCAGCACCCAGGCGGCCCCCTAACCTGGCAGCTGCAGGATGGAGCTGCTCTGGGCCCCGTGGACATTCCAGGCCTCACAGCTGAGCCTGAGGTGGGAGCTGAGTACCCCTCGGAGGCTCAGGGAGCTGTTGGCCCAGGGCCCAGCTGAGCTGGGGGTGACCTCGAAGGAGTCCCGGCTGCTGTTCCCCTCCAGCAGCTCCTCTCCAAGCTACCAGCGCAGAGAGGGGGCCGGGCTGGCCTGGGAGGAGCAGCTGCAGTGCAGACTCTCAGCCTCCCAGGAACAGGAGGGGCCCAGCAGCTGTGGGGGGTCTCTGGGGAGGGAGGACAGGACTCAGCAGGGACCCCTTCCTGGGACCCAGGTGCCACCTTTCTCCACTCACAGTGCACGGAGAGGCTGAGAGAGACATGCTGGGAGCCCAGTGGGTGCTGAGCGTGGCAGGTGAACTCTCCTTCGTGCTCCATTTGAACCTGAGGCAGCTCCAGGACCGCGGAGTCTGAGGGTGGGGAGGGGCTCAGGGTCTGTCCCCCCCGGGTCCAGCTCAGCATGGCTGGGGGACTGCTGTGGGTGACACAGGCCAGGCGCAGGCTTTGGCCCTCCAGGACTGGGACGGACGTGCCGTTCCCAAGGTTTTCCAGGACTAGAGAAGGAGGAGGCAGAATCAATGTGCAGCTTGGGGCACAGGGACCCTCCTGCGTGGGGACCCTCCAGATGCCTGGGCCCCCAGTTTAGCACTGAGAGGCCCTGGCTCCTCTGTCCCCTTTCCTACCTGTCCTGTTTGCTTGGGAAACCATCACTCTCAGGTTCTCTGGAGGATCTGAAATGGAGAAGGGACCGGCTCTAGATGGGCCAGGGGCTTCCCTCTGGGCAAAGGGAGCTGTCCTGGGAGACTGAGGTGGGGGAAGTGGGGGGATAGAAGGGCACAGCAGAATCACCCACTGAGTCTCAGACACAAACTGCATGAGTCTACACAGGTAAGAAGGTGGGTCCCCTAGGCCTGGGGTTCCAGGCCCCCTCAGCTCTGGAGCCCTGACTCTGCTTGTCTCAGTCCTTTCTTTGAACCAGTAGCCATAAGCTGGGGTAGACGCTGTCCAGTCCTTTTGGGAGTAGGAGAAAGAGCAGGACACAGAGACACACAGGCCCTCGGGCACCATCACTGACCTCTGCACTTGAATCCAGCCCCTGCGTCCCCACCCGTCCTCCCCTCCCAGATGGACTCCGGGCCCCTGCTGGGCACTCACACTGCACAGAGAGGTCCAGGGCTCGCTGCTGGGAGCCAAGCCTGTTCTCCGCTCGGCAGGTGTAGCGGCCTGAATCCCCGGCCTTCACCAGGGGAAGCTCCAGCCCCAGGGTTCTGGGGCCCCAGGAGTGGGACCAGGAGAGGACTCTGTCCTGCAGCACCCAGCTCAGCGTGGCGGGGGGCTGGCTGTCGGCAGCACAGAGCAGCCTCAGGAACTGGCCTTTCTGGGCTTCCAGATGTGTGAGATTTCCCTGGGGCTGGGGCTCCAGGGCTGGAGAGACAGAAAAAAAGAGAGGGAGGGAGAGAGAGAGAGAAGGGGTACAGGGAGGGGCACATCCCCTCATCCCCTGAAGCTTTTTCATCCCCTCTTTAAGGACTGGCCCAGTCCCAGCCCGATGGCCCTCAGTACCTGGCGTGTTGTCACGGGAAATACTGATAACAACGTCTCTGGGGGCATCTGCAACAAGATTCTGAGCTGGCTTCAGGGAGGGACAGTTTGTTCCCACAACCAAAAAACGGGGGAACTAAAGTGAGACTATCCAGAAGACAAGTGACAGCCAGCACCGGGGCTCACACGTGTGGACAGAGGACCAGAAGCCATTCCCATCCCCTCCCAGGGCTGTGCCGGCTTCCCAGGACCCCACGGCTTCCTCTCCCTGGACCCTCATGAGCTGGGAGCCGCTCACTACCCTGCTGGGCTCCACCTCCCCACCCCCCGGGTCTGTCTGCAGGCCCCACAGTCCCAGGCCACACTCACAGGCCACGCGGAGTTGGACGGTCCTCTCTGCACTCACACCCGCTCTGGAGAAGTCCACATGGCAGGTGAGGTCGGTGTCATGGTCCTGGGGCCTGGGTGTGAAGCTGAGCACTGAGAAGTGGGCGCTGCTTGGTCTGGTTCTTCTGGAGGAGAGGGCAGCCCCCGTCCAGGAGAAAGAAGGGGCTGGACAGTTCTCGAAGGCCCAGTTAAACACACAGATGACCATCACTGGCTGCCCAGGCTCCAGGGTCTCAGGGATGTAGACATCAGGCTTCTGAGTCAGGGCTGGGACAGAGGCAAGGTGGGGGGTGCTAGTGCTGCAGGGGTCCCTGAGAGTCCTCTCTGCTCAGCCCATGCCCAGGGTCCCTCCCCAGTGTGAGAGGCAGGAGTTCCCACCCCATTCCATACCTGTTACTTTTAGATAGAACTTGTTCAAGAAGTTGAATTTCACATAGCTTCCCCTCTCCACCCGAAACAGGTACCCTCCCGTGTCCTGCATCTGCGCATCTCTGATCACCAAGGAGCAGCTCCCCTTGCCGGGATCCCCCGTGAGCTGAAATCGGTCCCACGTGCTCATGTCCACCTCTCGATCTGGGTGGTTTGTTGCCACTGGAGCATCCTTGCTTGTCTCAGCCCTTTCTCGGAACCAGTAGCCATAAGCTGGGGTAGACTCTGTCCAGTCCCTTCGCGGGTAGGAGAGGTTGCAAGGCACAGAGACACACAGGCCCTCTGGCACTGTCACCGACCTCTGCACTTGGATTGAGAAGCCTCCATCCATAGCCTGGGACCCTGTGGGGAGACAGAAGCTCAACCTGGAACCCCAGGCCTAGCTCCGCCCCAGGTCCTTTCTGGCCCCCAGCCCACTCACCGCCCAGCAGCGAGGACAGCAGCAGTGGCAGCAGCATCTCGGCATAAGAGGCACAGGACCTGCCTGAGACTGGCCTGTTTTCTGGTGGTGCTGTGAATGGCTCAGGGCTCTTGGCAGAAGGGGGGAGCCGAGGGCGGAAGCTGAGCCCTGCTGGAGCCTGATGCGTGAAATGAGTTTCAGATCCTGAGGTCACAGGACTCCTTCCCCTTCCTCGGCATTCCCCTGTCCACCTTGCCCGCTTGTCTTCCGGGTCTCCTGGGGGCCCAGCCTGACCTTGGGCTTGTTGAGCTGGTCCTTCCAGAGCTCCCAGTGCAGGAGGGGAGGGCAGGCTTGTGTCTGCCCTGGGGGCCTGGCTGTGGGTAGGGCAGTGGGGTGGGGGCTCTCCCTCTGGGCCCTGTGTCATTGAAAAAGCAGAAGTGAAAGTCCACAATGAGCCCCCCTTATCTGGGTAACTGGTGGTGGAGATAGTGGGTACAGGGGAAGGGACAGTTGCTGGAAGGGGCTGGTCTTGTCAGATTAAATGCAAGATGTCTGATTAAAGCTAAATTTCACAGAAAAGATACACTAAGTTTTTATTTTTATTTTTTAGTATAAATATATCCTAACTGCTGCATGGGATATACTTATACCAAAAAGCAAAATAAATTTGTTTATCTGAAATTCAAATTAATTATTTTTTGAGACAGAGTCTCGCTCTGTAGCCCAGGCTGGTGTGAGAAGTGGCATGATCTCTGCTCACTGCAACCTCTGCCTCCTGGACTCAAATGATTCTCCTGCCTCAGCCTCTCGAGTACATGGGGTTACAGGCGCCCGCCACCATGCCGAGCTAATTTTTGTATTTTTAGTAGAGACGGTTTCACCATGTTGGCCAGGCTGATTTCGAACTCCTGATCTCAAGTGATCTGCCGTCTTGGCCTCCCAAAATGCTGGGATTCCAGGTGTGAGCCACCGCACCTGGCCTAAGATTCCAATTTAACTGAGCATGTTGAATTTCTTTTTTTCTAAATCTGGCCATCCTAGGGTGGTATCAGCCTCAGCCCTTCATTGCAGGGTCCAGCCCTGCAGGGTCTGGTGGGTGTTCTTTGTGTGCAGAGACAATAGATCACAGGAAAGAAAGATACAAGAATCAGAGATAAGAGAAGAATTCAGCTGGGCCCTGGGGACCACTACTACCTAGGCACAGAGTCCAGTAGTGGCCCCGAATGCTGGGACCTGTTGATATTTATTGTATACAAGGCAGGGGGCAGGGTAAAGAGAGTGAATCATCTGATGTGATTGATAGGGTCAAGCAAATCACATGCTTATAGCACAGGGGGCCCTCCCTTTCAGGTAGCCACTGCAAGGAGGGGAGGCACACACTTCAGCATCTTTCTATGCACTTATCAGAAAGATCAAAGGCTTTTAGGATTCCGCTATTCTTCTCACAACTTCTAAGAACTTAAAAAGAGCTCCAGGTGAGAAATTGGAACATGAAAGCAGACAAAGATGGTGACTATCAGACCACATCACCACAGAGAGGCATTTAAGCCACTGGATGTCTGCAGGCTGGCCTGGCTAATGTCAGGCCTTCCTCGAGAGCCGGGCAGAGCAGAGTGTTCTCTGAACTCCCCCAGTGAAAGGGAAACTCCCCTTCATGGCCTGCTAAGTAACAGATGCGTTCCCAGGTGCTGGCACAGCTGCAAGGTTCTCACTCTCACCTCCTGATCACTTCTCACAATGTCCCTTCTGTTCCTAATTGTATTTCACCTGGTTATTTCTGTAAGACTAAAATGATTCTATGCTATAATACTAAAGCAAAGATTAACAAAGAATAATGATTTAATAAGATTATATAGTTGATTATGTGATTGTTTCTAAATATATTTGGTATCATTGCTAAAACTAAGTTATCAGTTATTGATTATACTGGGACAGATTGTGCCTTCAGTCTCTTGCTTGGCACCTGGGCAACTTTCGTCTCACACTTCACACTTCATGGTAAGCTCTTGATTGTTGCTCCCCAGAAGCATCCTCTGGCCCCCACCAGGCCTCAGTCCACTTCCCAGTCTCCCGTCCTCCTCCGTCATTCAGCTGGGACATCCATCGGGATTAGAACACATATGCCCAAAAGTAATGCTGATGGGAGGAGTTTGAGGAAAGGCGGGAGTGGGGGGCGGGGTGTGGGAAACAGACTAGGGAAGTGGGACTTTGCAATGAGTGGAGTAAACCCTACAAGGTGTTGTCCATTCACTGAGCTGTTGCTGACATGACTCCGTGTGGGTCACACAGAAACACGGGACTCCTCCTTTCAACCTCCATGCACCTTGGGTACCAGGTGCTGAGCTTCAGAGGGACTCTGAGGTGAATACTCCATGGTGGGTCCCTTCCAGGACCCCAGGTTAGTAAATGAAGATTTCTAGAAACAGGAAAGCATAGAAGGGCCCCTTAAATGACCCAGATGCTGGACAGACATTCAAGATGGGACCTGGGTATGGAGGAGCAGTCAGCTCTTCCTGGTGGAGGGAAGTCAGGAGAGGCCTCCTGGAGGAGGCGACCCAGCCCCTGCCCTGTCCTGGTTCTTTTGTCCACGACGTTTTTGTTTTTGGTTTTGAGACAAGGTCTTGCTCTGTTGCCCAGGCTGGAGTGCAGTGGTGCGATCATGGCTCACTGCAGCCTCAATCTTATGGGCTCAAGTGATCCTCCCACCTCGTCTGCCCTACTAGCTAGGACTACAGGCATGCACCACCAAGCCCAGCTAATTTTTGTAGTTTTTGGAGAGACAGAGTTTCACCATGTTGGCCAGGCTGGTCTCCAACTCCTGGGCTCCAGTGATCCTCCTGCCTCGGCCTCCCAAAGTGCTGGGATTACAGGTGTGCACCATGGCCTCATCCACTGCATTAGTCACTTGAGCTGCTGTCACAGCGTGCCACAGACAGAGGGGCTGAAACAGTCCTTAACACGGACCTCCTCAGGCTTCTGGGCTAGATGTCCAAACCAAAGTGTGCTTCCTTCCGAGGCCTCTGCCTGGTTTCTAGATGCCACTCCTCCTGGTGTCCTCACATGGCCATCCCTCTCTGGGTGTCTGTTTCCTCAGCTCCTGCTCTTATAAGAACTTACAAGAACTCATGTCATATTGGACTAGGCCCACCCTAGTCCAAATGAATGACCTCATTTCAGTCGGCCCTCAGTATGCACGGGTCCCACATGCCGGGATTCAACCACCTGCCCATCGTGGCATTCAAACACAAAACCGACAAAAGCCAACATAACCACAAAAAACAGCATGAATTAAAAATACAGCGTAACAGCTATTTACACAGCATTACACTGCATCAGGTATGATAAGTAACCTGGAGATGGAGGATGTGTAGAGGTCCTATGCAAACACTACTGGGTGAGGGAGCTGAGCATCATGGATTTGGTATCCAAGGGGCATGAGGCCTGGAATCAATCTCCCACACATACAGCAGAACGACTGTATCTCTTTAAATACTCTGTCTGCAAGTACTTAGGTACTGGAGGTTGGGACTTCAACACAGAAATTTGGTGAGGGGAAGAGGAATACAATTCAGACCCTAATATTCACCTTCCCTTTTTTTTTTTTTATTTTTAGAGAGAGAGAGAGGGTGGTTCTGTTGCTCAGGCTGGAGTGCAGTGGCTCGATCTCACTGCAACCTCCATCTCCCAGGTTCAAGCAATTCCCCTGCCTCAGCCTCCCAAGTAGCTGGGATTATAGGCACCCGCCGCCATGACCAGCTAATTTTTTGTATTTTCAGTTGAGATGGGGTTTCACCGTGTTGTCCAGGCTGGTTTTGAACTCGTGACCTCAGGTGATCCATCTGCCTCAGCCTCCCAAAGTGCCGGGATTACAAGTGTGAGCCACCTTGCCTAGCATGCCCTTCCCTTTGATCCCTGCTTCCCTGTGACCTAACCTGAGCCTTCTCTGGGGACACCAGCCTCCTTCCCCCAGGGGAGCTCTTGTATTGGGGGCACATCATGCCTTCCTCTCCACAGAGCTCAGAAAAGGGCCTCTCCCAGGGAGGAGTGAGGGGAGCAAGGGTCCCTGGGTCCTGGTGGCGGGGGCGGGGTGGGGGTGGGGGGTGGGTTCCTTAACGAGCTGACCCCTAAGGCCCCAATCTGGGCCCAGTCCCACCTCTGCCTTTGAGCATTTCACACCCATGGGACCAGCTGACAGGAGCCAGGAGAGCAGCAGTCTCCCTCCTCCCACGGGTTTCTCCACATCTCTGCCCCCTCCCATTCCCCCCTCTTCACTTTGCTGAGTTCCTGTGGTTTCTGTAGTCTCCTTCTCCTGCGAGGCCACAGCCCCCACCGCCCCCTCCCCTTGCTCCCAGCCTCGGTCAGGCAGGACTGGAGAGGCTGCCTGGGGTCCCCGGATTCGTTTCTGGTCAGGCTGACGCTTGTCTTCTCTCCTGAGACGGTTCGGGTTTTCCCTGAGCTTCTTCCCTCCAAAGCCAGATCCCCAGCTCCGCCATCCGCCGACCCCCGCCCCTCCGCCCCGCCTCTCCATTCAGCAGGGTGTGCACGCCTGCTCTTCATCCTTAATGTCACACGGAAGGGCTCAGAAAGCCCCACCCAGGCTCCAGACCCCGGAACTGCACGAGGGCACAGGTGCGCGCTGGGAGGAAGGGCGGGGACGGTGGGAGGTGCGGGAGGGAGAGGCGGGGGTTCCTGACAGGATCCCACCCTGGGGGGCGCAGGTGTGGCCTGAGGACCGCGTCCTGAGGAGGGCGGGGGAGCGCCAGGGTCCCGGCGAGGATGGAGAGCCCAGGAGGCTTTGCCGGGGAAAAGGGGGATCTGCACCTTCCCTGACCAGCGCAGAAATCTTTGCCGGGAGAAGGGGGACCTGAACTTCCCTGACCAGCGTCTTTGCGTTTCTTGGGCTCCGGAGCTGGTCCCGGGTTTTTCCTCCCACCTCGGGCTGTGCCGCAGTTCAGGACGCCGTCCCCAGAGGGCGCTACAATCCCAGCGCAGGCGCCGCAGCGCCACAGACCCTGGAGCCCACGCTGTCCATGGTCCTGCAGGCGAGAGGCTACCAGGGGAACAAATCCCAGACTCGGGACACGTTTGCAGACAGCACTCTTCAAAAAGGCTACTTTTTACTGCACCTCAGAACAAAATCGCCTCCAGGGGAATCAAATTAAAGCAAAACCGAAGTCACCATGGTCAACTCACTTCCCTGACCCCAAATTCACCCTCCCCAAAATATAAAACCCTTCAAAACATTCACACACGTGGGCCGGGCGCGGTGGCTCAAGCCTGTAATCCCAGCACTTTGGGAGGCCGAGGCGGGTGGATCACCAGGTCAAGAGATCGAGACCATCCTGGTCAACGTGGTGAAACCCCGTCTCTACTAAAACTACAAAAAATTAGCTGGGCATGGTGGCGCGTGCCTGTAGTCCCAGCTACTCAGGAGGCTGAGGCAGGAGAATTGCCTGAACCCAGGAGGCGGAGGTTGCGGTGAGCCGAGATTGCGC